TTTTTCAGGCCAGGCACTGTCACGTCCAAATCATAAATCTGCAAAAATACATTTTCTTTTACTTTTTTTGGATACATCTTTATCCAGACTGATACCTTAAACATCTATCAACACCTCTATCTGATTGTATATGTGAAGAACAAAGATTAATAATTATTCATTTATTGTACCCTGGAATTCTGGTAATCCTGGCCTTTCCCTATGGCTTTGACACCTGTTATAGTGAGGGTATTCCCGCTGCTGCTTATGGTTGCATAACTCAGCTCCAAATCTCTGAATAAGCACAAAAAAAGATGAAGTAATGAAAAGACAGGGAACACAGCTGGAAAATGGTTAATATAAATAAGTTCAAAGTGACCCACTTGCACTGAATAACAGGCTGAAGTTTAGAAGGAGGAGTTGTAGGGTGGCCATAACAATCTTTCATCTCCAGGTGAATGTTGAATGGCACTCCCACTCGTACAGAATCAGCAGGGTTGAGAACAGTAAAGCTTTCTGCATTTCCCTCTGAAAAAATATAACAGCGCCTGTCAAGCATCTGCCTGAAAGATTTCCAAAGAAAAAGGTTCATTCCTTTCACCTTTGATTGTAAACTTCAGCTCATAACTCGGGAGCTCTTTGCCTCCATAGACTGTGGAGAGATCCTTATCACGTATTGCAGTTTTTAGACTCAGGGTGTATTTTCCCAGGCTGGTCAGGGACTCTAAAGTGGATTAAACAGTTTTTGTGTGAAATCTTGTCGTAGAGTAATGAATACTTTAAGAATAGAAGGTGAAAAACAAACCAATTTTCTCGAACCAGTGTCCAAATTTAGTAGATTGGGCAGACAAATCAGCAATCTTCTTCCCTCCTTTGGAACCTATGCCAAAAACAAGAAAGACAGACTCAATAGAAACCTGCAGCAAGGGATGGTGCAGGGGATAATTTGAACTATCAATGCAGAAGAAATATAAATCAGGTAATGATGAGCTTTAAGGTACAGTGGAGATGTTCTTTTTCCGGATGGATCATTAAAATGCTTGTATAAATGATGCAAACAGCAACTTCTAAACAGAACGAGCACAAGTTTAATAGGCGTTCCATCTCGGGAGCGGGTACAGGGTTGTGCATGTGAAATTTTTTTTCACATGCACAACCCTGCATGTGTTTGAAGGGTGGGTGTTTTCAAAAATTTGCTATACCTGTAAATACCAACCCATATATCACCAATCACCCAGCTGTGGTCCCACTTGCCTTACCATGGAAAATAACTGTAAGCATAACTTCCAGCTTTATCAATGCCCCCTGGCCGCCTGTATGAATGGATGAGATCCATCTCCCATTTCTATTATGAATTTGAACCTTTAAGGGGCCTGAAATGATGCAACATATAAAAGTTTATTTAATCTCAAGATTTTAATTTGCATTATGGAAATGTAATAATATAGAGAGTTAAAAGCAATGGAGTTTTACCTAAAGGAGTCCCGCAGCGAACCACAGCATTTTGTGGCCAAGGATTCCCCTCTGGCCATTCAACGTTCAGCTTTGCTGGCAACCTAGAAACAAGTCAAAGCTAAATCCTCAGAGGTGCAAAGATATAACAGTGATCTCATTCTTCATTACAAGAAGAAATATTACACTATGAATGCAAAAAAAAAAGTACAAGATTCATGCAAACAAAAAATGCAAGATTTCTGCAAAATGAAAATAAAAAATAAGATTCATGTAAAATCTCAATGGAGTCTGGGTATAAATGAAAGATTTTGAATTTTTAGGTTGTTGTTTTTTTGTCTCACTAAAAACTCTTATTGTGTAAGTTAAGTTAAGGCATGTGTACTTGTATAGCAGATTTCAGTAGCAAGATAGTTCACGGTGCTGTACATGAGGTGTGTGTGTGTGTGTGTGGGGGGGGGGGGTACATGGCAGTGGTGGAATAGAGGCAACATAAATAGTTAAAGAGAATAAAAGTGACAAATTAAAATGAATAGATAATAGAAAAAAAGGATTAATACTTGTCAAAAAAAATCAAATGTTAAAGAAAATGTAACGAGTTTGATAGGAAACTTAAAAATGTTTGGATAGCAGTCAAAGGCCACTCTAAAAAAATGGGTTTTTATGTTTTTATGAGGAGGAATATAATTATTGGACAGACCAAAAAATACATAAAAACACTGTAAATATATTTAAAACTAAAGAAAAAACTCAATTAAATTTTTTTAAGTATTCAATAGTATTTTACAAGAACGAAAAATAAACAAATCTATCTAATATTATTGATTTTAGAGACATTTAGTAAAGGCTCAACTAGTAGAAAAGGCTGTGTAGGAATTAAACACAAAGAGAAATCTATTTCAGACAACTACTTTTCATTCGATCCTATCTGCATAAGTAGCCATGTCTTCACTTCAAGGTACTGAGCTTGTTGGACAACATGAATTTCAAAAGCCTGCACCGAGCTAAAAAAAAAAAAAAAATTTAAAATGAATTTTAAAAGCCTGCACAAAAAAAAAAAAAAAAAGGGAAACAAAATTAGCTGAGGGTTTGCTCCCTTCCCGATAAGCAAAAGCAGCAGGTGGGATATTGGAGAAAACGGGCCTGGTTTACTGAGATGCACCCGTACAGTCAAACCCAGATATATGCTTTCTAGATTAGTAAATGTTCAGTGAATTCATTATTCCAGTAAAATATGGAATAGTTTAGAGACATTCACGTTTTAAAAATTTCCATCTTTGATACATATCTGAATTGAAGGTTGCTGGCAAATAAAAATAAATAAAACATATGTTTTGGGGGATTCTTTTCTCAGTAGAATTTTTTCTATCGAAAAAGAAAACAATAAACAAATATTTAATTTTCTCTTATTTCTAGCAAAAAAAAATACTAAAACTAAATTGAATAACTTATTTACAGTGACACTTTAAAAAAAAGAAGGGATTTTAAATAAATGTTTACTTGTCCCTGTCGTTCTCAATGTTTTTGCAAATACTTTCTCTGGTGGCAGTCCTGTCAATCTTGGAGATGGGTATGATCCTGGTGACATTCGCATACAGCTCCATTGGCTCCTATAAAAAAAAGAAATCAAAGTCATAATTATAACAAAAAGCCATTGGTTCCCTGTATTATTTTTATTATTTTGTATTTATTTATATTCTACTTTAATATGTAAAGAAGTGTAATAAGAAAATGTTCATCTGATGTTCTGCACAAAGCATTTCATTCAATTAACTAATTAGAGTGAAATAAACAATACTCACTGCTTTTAACAATAAAAGATTCATACCACATGCATTTACAAAGGGCTGGGTATTGTTCAAAAATTTTCGGTCCCAGTACCAATACAGATACCTTCACTTCGATACCGGTTCCTGAACGATACTTTTTTCGATACCAGTTTTATAATATCAATTCGAAGAAAAAGAAAATTACACAAAATAATAAAGTACAAATCTTGAGTTTTATTTTAAGCTCTGATTTTTCCATATACATTTTTCCTCTTACATAAAAAAAAATTTTTCATTGAAGAAGAACAGTTGCAAACAAGTCAGTGTCTAATATTCACTGTTACATTGTGAGGACCTTTTTACTTAGCAGTTTTTCTTTAGAAAAATTAACATGTCTGCTTTCTCAGGAGACAAACAAGCCCGTTGAATGAGCGGCCCCGACACAAATAATATTGGAAGGCAGGATGGTAATCTTGATGAACTGACTGCACTGATTAAGTTTTCAGGTGGATTTTCCCACTTAAAAACATAATAAAACTACTTTATTCCCACTGATCACAGCAAATATAGCTGCAAGGCCAATAAAGGAAAGAGTAGCTCCGTCCAACGCGAGTCAGAACCACTTTTCAACCGCGCAGCCAGAGCAGCAAAGCTGCTTCAGCCGCGTGTCAGAAGCTGGTACAAGCAGCAAAAAGGAAGCAGCAGACGCGATTTTGCTGTTCTTGCTCCGCCCGGTGTGAAAGCAGCATGATTCACTCCGCTCTGGCTTTGCACTGCCCACGGGCTGCGGTCCGCTCTTCTTGCAGTCAAACACCGAGCAACTTTCTGCGCTTAAATTGTTTCTGTGCACGATGTATTGCATTGCGCACTATTGGCATCAGTCTTAATAAAGTGAAGCCACACCTTTGACCTGGGGGGCATTTTAAAGGGGTTCCACGACGCTCGCAACCAGTTCACAACAGATAC